AGAGAGAGGGGGGGGAGAAACATATATACTTGGTCACTCATTCATTCATTTATTCATTCATTCATTCACTCGTTTATTCATCCATTCATTCACTCACTCCTTAGAAATACGTTAGTTGATAGTATATAAATTATATCTACATTACGGATAAATATGTGCATTACAAATATCTGGCAATTTGATTCCCCGAGCAGCAGAATAGCTATAAGGGAGAAGAGGAAACAGATGATGTACTGGACTTAGGAGTCACGGACGCGCTCGACGACTTAGATGGTGAAGACGAAAATATAGAGTTTAGTAGAGGCAATACTGATAAACGTAGTGATAACGATTTCTATAAAGATGGAGAACATCCGGGGGTACAGCCTACGTCGTCGTATTACGAACAAGATGAGAATGCCGAGTACGCGAACGAACATGAGGCATGTCAGTCCGACAGGAATTCAGAGTCTAATAGCGTTAATGTTTGCAATAACATTGGCAAAGGCGATTTGCGCGAGAAACTGCAAAGAAACGTACAAAAAAATATTTACATCGGCAACGGGCAAGGAGCAGAAGACGACGACTGCGAGGAGGAGAGGGAGAGACGAAACAGATTTCAAAACGAGCGTACAATCATTTCTCCAAAGATGAACAATGACATCCCGGACACATTAGAGAATGTAGTCACATCGGAACCATCCAGAGCGCCGTTCAGAGGAAGAGGAAGAAGTCGCGGTGCAAGAGGAAGCAGAGGAGGAAGATTCAATGTACAAAATACCGGAAACTTTAATCCAAGGTAATATATATTTTGATAAGAAAGCTTGTGCCATTTGAGGCAATTAATGAGAGAGAGAGAGAGTGAGGATTAACAATAGTTTTATAATTATAAAGTAAACAAAAATAAAGCAGCGTCACACTCTCACATCTACACGCTGCTTTGATGCTATTTACCTTTCTTCATACAAAACACTTTTCAGGTTTGTTGGTGCGATACGGCCGGGTAGTGGTTTTGATAATCAGCCACCTGCGTATAGACCGCCACTAATAGAGACCAGACCTCCGTGTCTCCTGGGCATGCCAAGTAACTTACAAAATCAGCAGATAATGTACCAACAAACTAATCCACAACAGTCCTTTCAACAGCCCTTTGGCCCGAACGGTCCGATGCAAGGGCCGCCGACGCAATTTACAGAGAATAGACCGCAATTCAATCCCGGACAATTCCAGGGCCCTCCACAGTTGCGTCCGGTCAGCTCGAGAGCGTCCGAATACGGACCTAGAGGTCCCTTGGTGGCGGGAGGATCCATGCAAGGACCGAATTTCAATTGTCCACCCCATCAGCCACCCTATCACCCGCCAATGCAACCGCCGTTTCAAAATACAGGCAGTATTATGCAGGAGAGCCGGCCGATGCAGGGTAATCAGGGCCCTCTATTGCAAGGAAATCCGGGAGCAGGATCGCTCCTCGGTAATCCGAACATGCTGCCTGGAAATCCGCCAAATATGATGCTGCCAGGAGGAAACTTGCCGATGCCTATGCAAGGATTTCCGCGTCAGCAGCAACCGCTGCCATCCTCCCAAGGTCCGCCCATGCAAAATTTGCCGCCAAACATGCAAATGCCTAGTCAGCCGCCCTTCGAAAACAGATTGCCGCCGTTCCAAGAGCCGCATTTTGAAAACCGGAACGCGTACGACGCGAGAGGCGGCGGTTATCATCCCGATCAAGTATCCAACAGTCCATTTAATAATACGGTACAACCGGTACCGCAACAGTCGGCATCTAATGTGTCACACAGTGTGTCCTTACCTCCAGGCCACAAGATTCTAATCAATCCTCACTTTAGAGGCACCGTTCAACCTGCAAATGATGGTGAGTTTTATTTTAATCTTTATCAGCGTATTGATTTGCATTGATTGTGGATATATACTGGATCGGTACTTTTGCTAATGTTTTTTCTAAATCATGATCGCACGCAGCTCGGCTTGTTTGGGATTCTAATCAAGCCCAACCGCAAGTTTCTCACAGCGGGCAGTTTCCACAATCCACGTCGTATCAGAATCAAGGACCCTATAATCAGCCCCAGCAAGGTCCGTCGCAGTATCAGCAAAACTACCAACAGAATAAGAGCGATGTAAATAAATGATACATAATAGTAGATACGATACAATAGATATACTGAATGAGTAGATTGTGTATCATTAAAATCATCTCATTGCAGGATCCATACGCGTACTTTTCTGATGTGTGGCAGGAAAATAGACCACAGAAATCTCAGAATGCGAGCCCGAGTAAACATTATCCCTCTGATAACAATTATTCCCGGGAGGGTAACTACAATGATAGCAATAAGTATAAATCAGACAGCCAGTGGGATCAAAGAGATAATTATCAAGAAGTAAATGTTACAATACGAAAGTTTGATAATTGTGTATTATTTTATCTACTTTAGATGTTCAATCGCCTCTCTTTTTTTTTTCTTTTTCTAATTAGGAGCACAGAGGATCTCAGCAAAATTATCGAGAAAGAGATTTGCCGTTACGAACAAGGAATGATCATGTGCAGAGAAGTAGAACGCCTCCTAGTGCATATCGCAACGATTCCTATGATCAGAATCATACTCAGAAATTTCGATCGACGAACGCTGCGCCTCGTGGAGTGAATAAGGCAGCGCAAAAAAGAATTTCCGAATCCTCGGATAAAGAATCGTGGGAAGTAAATTCAAAGCGCAGTAAACCGCCTAATAACAGAAATCTTCAAGAAGTACGAAAGATGGATACGGCAAGTGAACCAGCTGCCGAGAAAAAAGTGAGTTTTCTCATTTTCCCATTTTCATTCTCAAGACTTACCTTTGTGATGCAACATAATCCAAGTGTATGTCGCAAAACTATATAATACTATTTTAGGATGAAGATAACGATCCGGAGATGCAAGAGTACCGCAAGAAAATGGAAGAACAAAAGCGTCTTCGGGAAAAAATATTACGTGAAAAGGAGAACAGACGTAAGATGGCCGCAATGGAAAAACAAAATGAAAATGCGAATGTCGATTCGAATGCAGCAGGTAAATTGAATTATTATCTCTACATAATTATGATACGGGTATTTTTTTTCTTTGGTGTTGATTATACAACGATATGACTGGAATTGTTCAGCGAATGAAAACACGCAACAAGAAACGAAGCCTGTGTCAGCGCTAATAGGAATTGTGAAGGATAACATCGCTGTTAAAGCTCGCCCAGGTGTTGCTAAAGGACGCGGTCGTCCTGTCAATACACAGAGCACAGAGGTACAACATTAAATGTATCATTATGTGATATTCTTCAGTTTTGATTAATTTCGACTAGATGTAATATCAATTGTGCACACGATATATATATTTTTGCTTATAACATTTGAGATATTTTACGACGCATTTTTTAGACTTATTTTAGCATTAGTTATTACGAATCAAATACGAATAAAAAGAATATATATATATGTGTGTGTGATATATATGTTTACAGTGATAGTATTTTTTAATGCATTTTGCAATGTGCTTATTGATCAGTTTACAAAATATTGTATAAATGTGCGCGCGCGCGCGCGCGCGCGCGTGTGTGTGTGTGTGTGTGTGTGTAATGCGCGTGTGCGTGTGCGTGTGCGTGTGCGTGTGTGTATGTTAAAATTCAAAACAGAAATATTGGCTAGTCCATTCAAATCCTCTTTTTATAATTGCAGTTGTGCTGCATGTTTGTTAATTATTGTTAGAAAAGAAAAATACCATTTTTTTTTAACATTTACAACTAGTTATAACTATACATATACATATTTTTACATGAAATATTACTTAATTTCATATACGCGTACAATTAAAAGTTATTGTACATTCTCTCTTTATGTTTAAATAAAATGTACTTTTCCAATAAATTTTGTTTCTTTTTATTTTCTCCAAGACTGAAACATGTCTCGACAAACTTTAAAATTCAAAATTTTTCATTTAAAAATTAGACCGTCTATGAGATGTATTGTGATGTATTTGCTTTATGTTATTGCTATTTCGATAAAATAACTAATTTTACAATCATGTTCTGCATAATAAATTTTTCTCTAAAATGACATGCTTTTTTGTTGCAGGTCGCAGACAGACAGACGCATAGTGTGCGTATTGTCAGAACAATACCAACTATACAGACCAACGATTTGTCAGACACAGCTGCTTCGAAAGATAACGCTGGATATGTAAATCAAACTGGTGATTCGCGACAAGTCATACAACAATCTGTGAGAAGAGTGGTAATACAAAAGCCACCTCTTCAAAAAATTGCTACTACGATACAGAAAACTGTTTCTAATTTGCAAAAACATCAAGGATTGCAGCATAAAGTGTCCAATCCAACGCAAGTTGTACAAACTCAAAAGATTGTACAAAATCAAAGTACTGCGTTACAAAAGCCTGTGACAGTTGGATCGAAAATTGGGACTGTCAGTCAGAGAATAGTAACTCACAAAGCATCGGGTGGCCTGCAGAAGACCGTGATCAACGATGCTGTGACGATTCAGAAAATTGTAAGCGCGCAACAAAATCCACAGCGAATCGTACTGCAAAAATCCCCCCTTCAAGGCAAAAGGTTGCCTGAGATAAAGACGAATACGGTCAGATTAGAGAATTTGGCCGCGAGTACGTCTGAGGCGCAAATCAGACGTATGTGTCAAGCCATCGGAACGATCGAGGTGACTATATTTACGTGAAAATGCGTTTCATGTGACACACACGCTTTTTCATTAATCTTCTCGCTCTCTTTCTCTCTCCTTTTACTTTCGCTTTTACTTTTATTACACACATTTTATACTTTCCTTATACAAAGTATTTAAGTTTACAGATTTCATAGTGCAGTGATTTATTTTTTGCATGTATTTTTTTATATGTATTTCTCTTTATAAGAGCTGCATTCTATTTGAACAAACATGCATACGTATCAAATGTAGATCATTTCTTTGCGGAAATTTGTAACTACAAAAAATTGCAGCAAAGTATCAAAAACTGCTATTCAATGTATATTATATTTGATCGATTACTCTAATTATTAATTCTGTTATTGTGTGTGTGTGTTAAATGGCTGTAAGATCCCAAAGCTATATTCCAAAGTATAATTAGAAATAAGGTATATATAATACATATAATTTATGACACACATGTTTTTGCATAATATAATACATTTGTTTTAGTTTCATTCAGTTACTAAATATTAAGATCATCGATTTTACAATTCGATTTACAATTTGTTTAATTTGAATACACATGCATGACTATGCACGCTATAATGCATATAATAAAATGACTTGTACTTAAAACTTTTAATTTAAAAATTGATCTGAGGTTATTACATTCGTAACACATATAACATTGACAAAAATATGTTTTTATATATAGATTAAGTAATATCGATTCATAAAGTGTTATGTCATTATATTACAGTATTCGAACATGTAGCATTTGATATCAAAATTGGTGTGTGTGCGTGCGTGTTTGTGTGTGTGCGTGTGTGTTCATTTATATAATTTTTCAATGTATTTTTGTTGATTTTTTTCCTTTTCTTTTTGTTGAGAGAATATACAATTAGAATATTTAGAAGATTAGTGATATGTAAATTTTTTGTGTTGGAAATGCGAATTTGAGACAATTTTTGTAATAAAAGTTGGTCACAAATTCTACAAGGCTTGTTAAAATAACTTAGTTACCGTTTTATTGATTTCTTATTTTATTTCGCCCTGATGTAAATTGTATGTAATGCAGACACACACATCAAAGATTCCTTATGTTTATCACCAAGTTATTACATTTTTTTATTTCTTCTATCTAGATTTATATCTATTTTAAATAAACGATATACTCGACAATTTAATAACAGTGTCCTTTCTATTCTTCGTGTTATAGAGCATACATATGGGCGAGGGTAATGCGACCATTGTGTTTAAGACACAATCCGCTGCCATGGTGTTTCACAAGAAATACCAGCGTAAAATGCTCGATCTATCGCTGATAACCGTTCGTCTTGTGCCACAAAGCACATCCGGCAATAAAATGGTAACGGCGGTCACAAAGAAATCCTAAAGGAAAATCGAAATATTTTCAATATATCTGTAACGTTAATTTGATGTAAACCAGTTCTCAAAAGGCACTTTTCATTTCAATGATTCAAGTTCATTAGATTTGTTTAAAGTGTAAAGTCTTGTTTATTATATATATAAAAATCTTTAAAAGATAAAACACTTATTAACTATATGTTATACATATATTCTGCAAAATATATATTACACCTCACAAATTTGTAAATTTTGAACGATTTGGTTTCCAGTGCAGAACAATATAAATGATAAATCTTAAAAACTTCGCAACCGGATACGATCGACTTCATTTGTATATATGATGAGAAATTGTATATTTCGTATAAAATAATGTATGATGATATGTGCATATGAAAAAATAAAGTAACTCAACAATACACGGACATAGAAGACAAAAATGAGTATATAAAGATTATCATAACGATATAACAAGAATATTTCCTGCAAGAACAGTGTAGACAGTGTTTTTCAAAAGGAAATAAAGCCGCTCTATTAATTGCATATGGCAAAGAATATATCGAACTTTATATATGTAGAATAAAAATATATATTTAAATAAGAAAATGCTCCATTATATGAAAAATTCTAATACCTCATGATGTATGATTTAGGTAAGATATATGATGAATTTGTATATATATATATATATAAACAATAATATAAAATTCACTTGAAATATCAATTTCATTACATATAGCGCTTGTCATATTCAGTTAATGAAATTTTTGGCAGATACAAATTGTCTATTTACTTTTCCTTATCCAATCAAACTATCTCATTGTCAATTATCTATATTTCCCTACATTTGTGTACAACATCGTACAATATCGTAAAATAAAATATACACATTGTTTTTTTTTGTCTTTCAATATGTTCCAAAAATAGAATTGTTAAAAAAATATCGTTAAAAATTATTACTGAAAATATATTTAATATTTATAATAAATTGATATTTTTAAAAACTACTTCCCAATTTTATTCCTATGCTTGTTTTTGCAATGGAATATTTACATTCATCAAGCATTTTTATCGACAATATTCTACAAAAATAAAAATTGCTTATTATTTATAATAGAAAAATAGCAATAAATAATAATATTTCTACAAAGGAAATTATTCATATATAAGAAATTGTAAATTTGAATAAACTGCTAATGCTCAACGCATTTAAGTCATGTAGTTTTTAAATTTTTGACATTCCAAAAAACTCATGAATCTCTGTGTAGGCCATAAAGTATAAAATAACATGGAGCATAAAATGAATCGAACTTGCCTCTGAAGAAGGAAGAAAAAAGTACACATTTCTCTGTGTATCATGAAAACTCGCCTTTACTCATTTTTGCCAATCCTTCACAATCGCTTCGCAATCGCATACAGTTTTGTGCGTTACCAACAGAACTCATATTTCGAGAGCAACTTCAGTAGCGATCAAACAAATTGACAAGTGTTTCTGTTTGGCGGCACGTACGGGTGCTTACGGGCAAATCTCAATCGATCGCCAATAACAGATTTGATTTACGAGTTTTAAATTAAGAATTACTAAAGTTGAGACATCTCTTTCTTCTAATTCCAACGGAATAACCGACGGTTATGGCTTCAACTAAGGTTGACTGGGGACAATATGCCGACGAACAGGACAAATTGGCGTCAAAGGTATATATCGGGATTTTTGTCGGAATTACCGGCATAAACGTGACTCTTTTGACGTTGTGATGCTTATTCAATGCAGCAGAAAATGTTTGTTTCGTAACTTTTGAGATGTACTCCAATCCATGGCATATGTTGGTTTTTTTTAAATTATGTTTTATATATAACCTTTGTACAATTAACCTGTTCTTCCTATATACTTTATGTTTTGTTTTCGTCCGAAAAATATATTTATTAGTTTAAACTGTTATATCGGACTGAGTTTAAATGGTTTATTAATTATATATATTATTCGTTGCAGGTAACAAATCTGAATTTGGACAAATCAAATTCGACATCCATTCCTGCTCCTGTGAAAGATGGAGATTCAAAGAGCGAGGATGATACTTCTGAAGAACAGATTTCACCAGCAGAACAATCGCTTCTACAAAAAATTATAAGAAAGGGATTAGTGGAAACAACAAAAGCTATAGACATTCAAAGAAATAACCCTAATTCTCCATTACACAGTGTCAAAACATTTGATGCACTTCATCTGTAAATAATTTTTAATTGTATATTTCATAATTTTGTGTGTGGGGGGGGGGTGTATTCAAATTGAAGTAACATGGTTTTTTTAACTGCTTATAGTAAGCCTGAATTACTCAAAGGTGTCTATGCTATGGGATTTAATGCTCCTTCAAGAATTCAAGAAACCGCTTTACCCACCTTACTTGCTGATCCGTAAGCAACACTAATAGTTTTATCTTACTATATTCTTTTTTACTAACATGCAAACCGTCTTAAACTATTGTGAAAATTTTTTTAGACCACAGAATATGATAGCGCAATCTCAATCTGGTACTGGCAAAACAGCTGCGTTTGTACTTGCCATGTTGAGTCGAGTAGATCCTACTGAAAATTATCCACAAGTTCTTTGTCTATCGCCAACTTATGAACTTGCAATCCAAACTGGCGAAGTAGCAGCAAAAATGTCACGCTTCTGTTCTCAAATAAAAATAAAATATGCCGTCAGGGGAGAAGAAAGTAATATATCACATTTTCTTATGCAATTTGAATTATGTATTATGATGGAATTCTTATGATTAATGTTTTAATTGTTTTAGTAACCCGTGGATCAAAAATCACTGAGCACATCATTATAGGAACTCCAGGCAAAGTGCTGGATTGGGGACAAAAGTTTAAGTTCTTCGATCTGAACAAAATATCGGTATTTGTGTTGGATGAGGCTGACGTTATGATTGCTACGCAGGGTCATCAAGATCAGTGTATTCGTATTCACAAGTAATTTCTCGGAGATACTCAAACGTTATAAATTTAATAACACGTTTCCCGTATAACCGTTACTTATGTTCATTTTATATAGATTACTTCCACGTACGTGTCAAATGATGTTCTTCTCTGCGACGTACGAACGAGAAGTAATGGAGTTTGCAGAGATTATAGTCAGCAATCCGTTAGTAATACGGCTGTTAAGAGAAGAAGAGAGTTTAGACAATATCAAACAGTACTACATCCAATGCAAAAATTCAGAAGAAAAGTATGCTGCCATCACCAACATCTATGGTGTAATCACTATTGGGCAAGCAATTATTTTCTGTCATGTAAGAATTTTATATCATTTTCATTAAATCTTAAAAAGCAACTCTTATGACAAAGTACAATATAATGTATTATATTTTTTTCAGACGAAAAAAACCGCCAGCTGGTTAGCTGAAAAAATGACAAAAGATGGACATGCAGTGGCAATATTGTCTGGTGATTTAACAGTGGAACAAAGGATTTCCGTGCTAGATAGATTTAGAGCAGGACTTGAGAAAGTCCTTATCACTACGAATGTCTTAGCTAGAGGTAAATATGATGTGCAATATATAATTAGAGATAAATATGAAGAGTGCAATATATAATGAAATCAGAAATGAATAAAAAAATATAACATGTAGCGTATGGAGATAATTTACAAACTAATCTATTAAAGTACTGTGGACGGTGCAATTTATAATGTATTTTACAATATTCGATAGGCATCGATGTCGAGCAAGTGACAATAGTGGTAAACTTCGATTTGCCGATGGATCAAAAACGGCAAGCCGACTGTGAAACGTATTTGCATAGGATCGGGCGAACAGGACGATTTGGCAAAGCAGGGATCGCTATTAATTTAATCGACTCGCCACATGCACTGCAATTGTGTAAAGACATAGAGAAACATTTTGGTAAAGAAATTCGTTATCTTGATGCGGAGGATGCGGACGAAATTGAGAAAATCGGAGCTTAGGTTAATATATATACATGTATACATATATAGCGACCATAAGTATACTTTTATTATGAATATAGTTAGGCTTTAATGTAATATTTTTTAAAGCGGACTTTTTTGTATTTTGAAAGAATATGAAACGTTTCTTTTCCAACAATGCTATATTAGAGAAAAGCGCTTTTTTCTCTCTTACACTCCTCTTTCTCACTACCTCTCTCAGCTACATTTTGTTGGATTGAAATACAAATCTGATCGGTCAAGAAATATCATAAAGATAAAACTGAATGGAGAAAAATATTTTTATATGTTGCATATGTGTGTGTGTGTGCTAACTGCATGCGTATAGAACATACTAACTTTTTTTTCTCTTTTTTGTGTTGAACTGCTGTCATCTTTGTTTTCCGAAGAAAAAATGGGATATTTTCGAAGTTTGACACACTTATAAAGCAATTAATGCGACATATAATGTTAGAAATACTAAATAAAGGTGTTTTGCGTTTCTGTACACAATATGGAATACTCATACAAATGTAAAGATAAGATTATTCTTTTACTACATCGCGTTGATCGTGGATTATTTTTGAAGATATCTACATACATAACACATCTCAATCCGTATGATATGATCGGCCTAAGTATCTCTCTGAATGTTTATCGTTTCAGAAAATAACAGTAGCTTTAAATTTCCATAATGCATAATATTCTGAAAATATAAATGTCGATAGATATTTAAAATGATCACGTCGTGATGAATCTTATACAACCCAATGACGATAACATGATTCTCATTTTGTAAACGAAAGATTGTTTTAATATTTGTATTCTTTAAAAGAGGAAAAAGAAATGGTCAAAATAAAGCATAATAATAATAATATTTCTATTCTAAATAAAATTTTAGTTGATTAAATATTTTCAACTATTTACTTATTTGCCATAATATAATTTGTAGTATTAAATAATGAAATAAAAAGAAAATTGTAATTTAAATATTTATTGAGAAAGAGAAAATAAATCTAACAATTATAAAATTATGAAATATCTAAATAAGATATCTAAATAACCAGCCTCCGACAATTGACATATATACTTACTTTTACGTTTGTATCTTTAACGAATATTATAATTGGAAAAACTATAAAATGTCATATGGAAAGGCTGCTCATTTTTGTTTCTGGCTTTATGAAACAGTTGTATTTTCTAGAATAACTTATACATATACACTTTCTTAATTGTATATCATTCATTTGAAAGTGTTTTTTGTACATAGTTCGCATAAGAGCAATAAACGATCTTGAAAATCTTAGATGTAAACACAACTTTTGATTAGCACACACAAGTGTCAATTGTTTAAAAATAGTTCAAAATAAATTTTACTTATATAATATATAGTATTACAATTATCGATTCTACATAATATGTAATTCCATTTGAACGAAATGACAGCACATATGATTAATTTGCTGTTCTCATATCGAGAGAAAAGAATAATTGCAGTAACCATGGTAAGTTATATAATCGGCAGTATTATACACATAAGGTTATTATTGCTAACATTGTAGTAACAATTCCTATAAAAATAAGTATTCCGACTATAATTATAGTCTTATGCAATTATAGTTCCAAATATCACACACTTCTCCCAGTGCACATCTGTTCACTGAAATATTTGAAAATGAAAAAAAGACTTGCCGTATATAGTATGGTGAAATATATACATATAAATTCATTATATATTAAATACATATTAAATATTATGTACTTTTGTACTGCTCTTTTACGAAACATGCATGAAGCAATACTTTCCAACAAATAGTATATAATTAAGAAGAACATTGTTAATAACCACCACAATATGGGCTATCTTTCTTTCAGTCTTTGTTTTTCTTTTTACATGCCCATGCCGCCCATGCCACCCATTCCTCCCATACCGCCCATACCACCCATTGGCGATTGGGGTTCTTCCTTAGGCAACTCTGTGACGACCGCTTCCGCCGTCGTCAACAACGATGCGACGCCCGCCGCATCGGTGAGCGCCGTACGTACGACCTTCGTGGGGTCGATGATGCCCTTCTCAATCATATCAACATATTCATCGTTCAAAGCATCATAACCGAGCTTGCTCTCGCTCACTTTAGCCACCACCAGACTAGCGTCGACACCGGCATTCTGTGCAATCTGCAGACACGGCATACGTAAAGCGTTTGCCACAATCTTGATTCCGGTTTCCTGATCGCCATTCGTTGCTTTGAGCTGTCGCAACACTGGTATGCACCTCAACAGAGCAGTCCCACCTGTAAGAAAATATAACATACAATAAAATATAACAATTTTTTTATGCGATGATTACACGGAGATCAGCCAATACAGATCAGTATTTACCTCCAGGAACGATTCCTTCTTCGACGGCAGCACGAGTGGCATTGAGTGCGTCGTGCACACGGTCCTTCTTTTCATTGACTTCCACTTCGCTGCTGCCACCAACTCTCAGAACAGCGACTCCGGACGCTAATCTCGCCAGACGCTCTTGCAGCTTTTCTTTCTCATAGTCAGACGTAGTGTTTTCGATTTGATCCCTAATCTGATCGGCTCTTCTGTCGATATCTATCTTTTTTCCTTTGCCTTTTAAAATCAGAGTGTCATCTTTCGTGATAATGACTTCTCCCACCTGACCCAAGTCACTTGCCTAAAAAGAAAAAGTGAAATTTATCTGGTACGATTAATTGAACAGATCATTATGATTAGATTTTTATTGAAAAGGTTTCATGTCACCATTTTCATTTCAATTAGGTTTGTAATTGTATTTAATTTTATTTTGAATTACAATAAAAATATAATATTGTTATTATTCGCACTTATAGTATATTTCTTGTATTGATTTGTTCGGCCCTTTTTTTCTTATTAGATTTATATTTACCTGAACGTCTTCCAATTTGACGAGATTGGCATCATCGCCAAACACAATGCCGCCAGTGGATATCGCCATGTCTTGAAGAGTGGCTTTCCTATTGTCACCAAAGCCGGGAGCTTTAACTGCAGCCACTTGCAATCCAATCTTCAGACGATTGACAACAAGCGTCGATAAAGCTTCACCATCCACATCTTCGGCGATTATAACGAGAGGTTTGCGTTGTGCATTGGCCAATTCCAAGGCAGGAATAATGCTTTGTACAGAGGAAATCTTTTTCTCGCTAAAAAGAAGGAGAGCATCTTGGAATTCGACCTTGGCTCCTTTGCTGGAATTGATGAAGTATGGAGAGATGTAGCCTCTGTCCAATTTCATTCCCTCAATGACTTCTAGTTCGTCAGTCAGTGTTTTGCCATCTTTCACAGTGATCACACCTTCTTTTCCGACTTTTTTCATGGCGTCGGAAATCAAGTTGCCAATGGCTTTGTCACCGTTAGCGGATATTGTTGCTACTTGAGCAATTTCTTCCGGTGTTGTAACAGGCTTGCTTAAAGTTTTAAGCTCATCGGTGACTCTATCTACTGCTAGCATTACACCTAACAAGTCACAAAATATTTAATGTTATCTCACAGTAAAAATTGTGTGTAATAACACATTTAAATTGATCTTTGATTTATGTCACAGTGCAAACCAAAGTTTCAAAAGATACTGTGCAAGAAAGAGAAAGAATTATGAATAAATAATTTACCTCGTCTAATTTCTACAGGATTTGCACCTTTACTAATTTTCTCAAATCCTTCTTTGGCTATTGCTCTAGCTAATACAGTTGCTGTTGTTGTACCATCACCAGCTTCCTCATTTGTATTATTTGCTACATCTTGTACTAATTTGGCTCCAATATTTTGAAACTTATCCTTTAGCTCAATGCCTTTTGCCACAGTTACACCGTCCTTTGTAATCTTTGGACTGCCCCAGCTTTGTTCCAGAATAACGTTACGTCCTTTAGGGCCCATTGTCACAGCCACGGCATCTGCCAAGATGTCTACACCCTGTAACATCAAGGCACGAACATCCGATCCAAAACGAACATCTTTGGCATAAGTACGCGTCTGTAACTGGCGTAGAGCAGTTCCTCTCAACAAGGCTGGTAGTCTGTACATCTATAAATAAATAAATAAATAAATAAATATGTATGTATGTATGTATGTATGGTTGTATGTATGTATATATGTATGTATGTATGTATGTATGTATGTATGTATGTATGTATGTATGTATGTATGTATGTATGTATGTATGTATGTATGTATGTATATATGTATGTATGTATGTATGTATGTATGTATGTATGTATGTATGTATGTATGTATGTATGTATGTATGTATGTATGTATGTGTGTACAGAGCGCTTTCTGTAAGCGATTATTTTAGTTGGGCGCATTTAGCACACCGACACGATAATTGTGTGGGCAAT